TGTTGGGAAATGAGAAACCGCTGGTGTCTGTGGCTATTTTATGATCTGTAAAAGCTGAAGAATATCTTCTGTCGCCAAGGAACTTTCTGGTTATAAAGATTTAGATTCAAAGATTCCACCAAATACTCAATCCTGGAGAAAAGTGTGCTTAATTTCCAAACTAGGCCTTTTTCTATTAACCTTTTCAGGTGTCTTTAAGTGTTATTTGTTAGATTAAATGTTAGGAAATGTTCCACTCAACACGTTTACTTGAGCATTATTATTATTATCACAGTTTGAGATTTTTTCTTCTTCAGGCATTTTCTTTATTTATTTTCAATGTTAGTAAAGTAGAAATGGCTAAAAAGGAGATTGACTGAACTGGATGTTTGTGTTTGGGTGGCCAAGAAAACTGAAATTAAAGCTTCTTATTACATTCTGACATAGTTTTGATATGCTCTCTTGTTTTTTTAGATGTCCCCACTTCCAAAACGGCGTCCCTCCCTCAGCTTTGGTCCCCGGAGATGGACCGAACAAACTCTGGACCTCAGCCGTCCCAGGCGGGTCTCAAAAAGCCTTCTTTCAACCTGTCTGTGTTTGGAACCTCGTCCAATGTGAGTATTTACCACAAGCGTGTCGCTGTGAACAGCCTGCTGGGTCTATCTGTTCCTCTATGGGCGTCTCTAGTCCTCTTTAGGTCTCTCTGGTCCCTTTAGGTCTTTCTGGTCCTTTTTAGGTCTTTCTGGTCCTCTTTGGGTCTCTCTGGTCCTCTATGGTGTTCTCTGGTCCACTTAGTTTTCTTTTGGCCTCCCCGATCCTCTCTGGATCTGTCTGGTCCTCTTTAGGTCTCTCTGGTCCTCTTTGGGTCTCTCTAGTCCTCTTTAGTTCTCTCTGGGTCTCTGTAGCCCTCTTTAGATCTCTTTGGGTCTCTTTGGTCCTCTATGGTCCACGCTAGTTCTCTCTAGTCTTCTTTAGTTCTCTTTAGGTCTCTCTGGTGCTCTATGGTCCACGCTTGTCCTCTTTGGGTCTCTCTGGTCCTCTTTAGGTCTCTTTGGATCTCTCTAGTCCTCTTTAGGTCTCTCTGGTCCTCTTTAGGTCTTTTTGGGTCTCACTGGTCCTCTTTAGGTCTCCCTGGGTCTCTTTAGTTCTCTCTGGTCCTCTTTATCTCCAATATATTTTATTGATTTTTTTCTTTTTTGACAACAAACTTTCAGACAACAAATCTAACATTATAACATGTAACTCTGGTCCTCTTTAGGTCTCTCTAGTTCTCTTTGGGTCTCTCTGGGTCCCTTTAGGTCTCTCTGGTCCTCTTTAGGTCTCTCTGGTCTTCTTTAGGTCTCTCTGGGCCTCAGTCCTGCAGGTTTTAGAGGTTTCATAATTCCCATCACAGCATCAGTCCAGTTCAGAGCTGAACCACCTTTAGAGACCAGTTTGATCCGGATCAGGTGGAGAAGCAGGAAACCTCTGAAACCTGCAGGACCCAGACCCACAGAGACCTAAAGGGACCAGAGAGACCTAAAGAGGACCAGAGAAACCTAAAGAGACCTAAAGCGGCCCAGAGACCCCTAAAGGGGACCAGAGAGACCTAAAGGGGACCAGAGAGACCTACAAAGCACCAGAGAGACCTACAGAGGACCAGAGAGACCTACAGAGGACCAGAGAGAACTACAGAGGACCAGAGAGACCTAAAGGGGACCAGAGAGACCAAAAAGAACCAGAGAGACCAAAAAGAACCAGAGAGACCTAAAGAGGACCAGAGAGACCTAAAGAGGACCAGAG